ATCTCCATTCCACTCCGCGAGACCTCCCAGGAGCCCACGAGAGTGTATGCCGTGGCGCCTTTTGTAGCCAACCAGGGAGACGCGGATTCCCGGCTGGATCTGTTTACAACTCCACTCCGATGGACCGACCCTCCCAAGAGCCCGCGAATGTGGCGACAATTGCACACTTTGCATCCCTCCCAGGAGCAGCGAAGTCTCGGCTGGATCGGTTTACAACTCCACGAAAGTGGGGACAACTGCGCACTTCGTTGCGCCAAAAGAGCCGCGAGATCTTTGCTGGATGCGTCCACCGCGCTGGACCTCCCAGGATCCCACGGAAATGGCGACAATTGCACACATCGCGTACCTCCAAGAGGCCGCGAAATCTCGGTTGGATCTGTTTACAATGCAACTCCGCTTAACATCCCAGGGGCCAGCGGACATGAGGCTGGTTGCGCACTTCGCCTCCCGCCAAGGAGCCGCGAAGTCGAAGTCTCGGCTGGATATGTTTGCAACCCCACTGCGATCGACCCAGCTTGAAACCGCGAAAGTCGCGACGGTTTCGCAGACTCGAGACCCCCGCAGAGGTTTAAGAGGTAGGAGAGAGGAGCAGGGAATGGGGAGGAGGTGGAAGAGGAGGAGGAGAAGGAGGAGGAGGAGGAGGAGTTCTTGTCAACCGCAGCGCGCACGCTCAGTCAACGTCCCAAGTCCACGTCAGCGGGCCAGACATGCACGCAGGGAGGAGGAACGCGGATTCGAGCGAATCGCCCCTCGAACGCGAGTCCGAGCCATCGCTCCCCACTGAGCGACAGGCACAAACCCAACCACAGCAGCAAGGCAGCGGCAACCACGAAGAACAGGGGGGCCCGCCCTATAACAATGAGTACACAACAGAAAGCAAGGCCTAGCACGCAGGTGCCTCGAACAACATCGAGAACCTGGCGCGGGGAGGCAGGGCGAGGGCAGACGACCGCCGCAAGGCGCCGCAGGTGCCTCGCACTTCGTCGGGAACCTGGCACGGGGAAGGGGGGACCCGCAGGCTCCTGGCAGCAGAGCGCTCTAGGCAGCACATGCCGCTTGCAAGCATGTGTACTGGCTTCTAGCTGCGCAAGGCAGCTAGTCAGCCAAAAGCCACGCTCTGAGGAGGAGGAGGAGGAGGAGGAGGAGGAGGAGGAGGAGGAGGAGGAGGAGGAGGAGGAGGACGAGTGGAGGCCACAGTGGTCTGTTCAAAACGAAAATCCAAACGCAGGAGGGTTTGGAAAAACGATGCTTGATAACCTTGGCCACGGCCTGGCCACGGGGGAGGGGGCCTCCAGCAACTGTTCCTTGCCAAGGGAGCTGTAAAGCCAATGCTGCCTTGTGCGAAAACCTTTTTGCGAAAGTGGCCTCCTGCGTTCCGACACGTCGCAGTAGTCCGTGCATGCTACGTCGAGACCGTCACGAAGCAGCTCGCTCATGTGAGCAGTTGGTCCCCTCCTCTCCTGTGAAGGTTCTGGTTTGCGCACACGAGGCCCCCCCCCCAGGTTGTCCCCGCTGGCCTCGACAGGCCCCCGAGTAACCCCAGCTGGCCTCAACATACTTCATCTCTGGGGCACAGAGCGCCCCCAGGGTCGCCACCGGAGGCGACGCCAGGGTGTTGCTGAGACCGCCCCGGACTACTCGGGGGGCCTGCTGAAGTCAGCTGGAAATGCTCGGAGGGCCTATTGAGACTAGCTGGGGCCACCTGAAAAGGGCTGCCTGCGCGCAACCCGAAACCCTACCATCCGGAAACCAACAGGTACCGATCCCGCTACTCCCCAGACCTCTCCCGGGGTGCGTTCTAACCAAACTTCGAAGCGAATCCAGCGGTGGCGACGAGGGCCTCCCAGGAGTCCCAAAACAGGGAAAACGAGGGTAAGGTAGCGGTATGGGCACCTTTTCCTCTTCTGATCCTCTGCCCTTGCACACCTTCCCAAGAGCCATGGCTCAACGACGTCCTAATACCATTCGGGCCACGCTGCGAGGCTGGCCTGGGCCAGGTCCACCGAGTGCCACCCCGACCAACAGATTCTTCGCGCACTCCTAAAGCATAAACCTATGGTGTGACGGCGTATTCCTATGATCTACATGCAAGAAATCAACGTCGTACCCCAATTTTACAAAAGCAGGAAAACAATGACAGTGAAGACCTGTATTCAACAACTGTGCTCGTCGCAGGGCACCACGCGGCGCCGACTCAACCCAAGCCGCCGACTTCGTTTTTGAACATGCGAACGTAGCACCGCACGCGGCATCGTGCAATACCGCACGGCACCGCTGGAACTGATCATTGGTTTCGTTCACGAACACGCGGGCATTGCACCGTACGGCAACACACGGCATCACATAACACAGCACGGGCACAGCACGGCACCGTACGGCATCGCACGGCATGGCCGATTTCTTTTCGGGCTCGTGGACGTAGAACCGCATTTCACAGCCGTGGGCCACAATGTTCGTTCTGCACGCGCGGAAATCTATCGGTACAGCACGGCATCGTCGGCGCGGCGCGATCCTGTGGACACGCATACGTCACACCGCCGCTGACTTTTTCGATCGCTGGTGCAGCCGCGGAGCACCGATTCCATTGTCGAGCACGCGGGGACGACACGGCACGGGGATTTGCACTGCGCGCTTCCTTTTCAACGAGTGCACCGCAAATCACAGGGTTGCCCACCTATGTACTGTTTTGAGATTGTTCTTGTGTTTTATGTAGTGACAATTGTTACGGGGCTGTGGGGGGCTGGGCCCCTGGGTAACGGTAACGCTTGGGGCACGTCGGGGCGGGGGAGCGCTGCAATCGCCGCAAGATGCGCGCGACCAACAGCATGTGGGGTGGGGAAGGATCCTGGCCCCCTCTCCCGATACGTACGATCGCTACCATTACCGGGGGGGGACCCTGGTAACGGCTGTTATGCGTCCGAGGGTAAAACAAATCTCATAGTTCCCCTGAAAGCTGGCTTCACGAAAAAATGCAACATCATAAAGGACCTCGAATGGGGGCTGCGGACCTGATCTCACTGCGCCAATGTTTAGAGCCCGCGCGGCCTGTCACGGTCCCCGGGCCCGAGACAAGCAGAATCTCTTTCGGGCGCGCTGGCCGTCACGCCGCACGGCATCGACGTCGCTGCACAGGTCCTCCAGCACACAAGCGATGCACCGCCCAGCACCGGACACCGCGTGGCACCGCATTGGGGCCCACCCGAATGGCCTTCGAGCACGCGGACGCCGAACGGCAGGGCACCGCCACGATCTGTCACGCCGCCTCGTCTCCCTTCAGAGGGCTTCATGGCCGAAACGGCGCCTGAACATCTGTGCGAGCGTGGCCGAAGCCAGCGCCCGAGAGTTCTCGAGCGCGACACCACCATGGCCCAACGGGTGCGTCTTCGAGCACGCACACGCGGACAACACCGCAAGGCACCGCACTGCACAGTTGTGGCCCACCAAATGCAGACACACCACCGCGCGACACCAGCGCGGCCCACAGATTTCGTCTTCGAGCTCGCGGACACGGCACCACACGGCACCATACGGCACCATGCAGCAATGCTACGGCCCACATATACCCGCCACCGTTACGCAGGCACTGAGTCGAGTGTCCGCGTGTCGCATGTCTCTCAAACTGATCCTCAAAGGGCAGTTCTCTTGCGGTCTTGCTTGCCTCTTGGGCCATCTTGGAGGCTCCATGGGGCTGGGCCGCGGGCCAAAACCATTGGAAACACAGATGCGTTCACGGGATTTACGTGTACCCGGCTTTTCGGTCTAAGAGCAGCCAGGGCGGTCCAAAAAGCTTCTACAATCGACCTGAGACCGGTCCAAGAAAGGGCCAAAGAGGCCCCCCAAAGGCCCCCGGAAGCCCCCAAGAGGCCCCCAAGAGGTGCAAGAGGCCCCCGAGACACCCCTGAGAAGCCTCCAAGATGCCCTCAGGACGCCCCCATCAACGACCCAGGCACGGTGGCGGGAATAAGCCGAAGGCCACTAAATTCGCCGCCCTCTGCAGAGGGTGCTTGGCGTGCCAAGTTTGCAACAGGCCTTTTAGGCCCTTAGGTTCCCACTGGGGTCTCGGCCACAGCAAGGTGCCCAAGAAACCTAAAAACAACCCTGAAACGCGCCAAGAGGACCCCAAAACAGCTGCCGACGGCGTCAGACGGGCCAAGAAGCCCTGGGACGGACCACGTGGCCCCCAAGAGGCTCCCAGAGATCCCCGAGACGCCCATGAGAACACCCCCGAAGACCCCCATGAAGGACCTAGGATGCCCCATGAGAGCCCCAAGAGGTCCCCCAAAGGCCTCGTCGTCCTCCCTACCCTCCTCCTCCTCCTCCTTCTCCTCCTCATCCTTCTCCCACTGTTCCTCCTCCCCCGAAAACAGGCAATGCTTGCCCTTAGGCACTCAGGGCTTCTCACCTATGTGTCAACATGATTGGACGGGCCCCTGAGGTTTTCGCCACGTTGCCGCCCGGCCCCAAAACTCCCCTCCCCAGTGTCTCCCATGTGGCTTTCCTAGCATCTGATCATCCGATGGAGAAAGCAGTCCGCTGGCGTGACCGCACTCTCGCCCGACATTCTGAGATGCAGGCATTTCCAACAGGCAGGGGGCGGCGGAGACTCGCCGTAAAAACCTTCGATCGCAGTCCGATACTTGGGAATGCGTAGACGGCAACGCACGCCTCCGCCGCGGCGCATCAATCCACCAATTCCGACTCGAAAAACGAAAAATCTGCATCACACGGCACCGTTTGACCTCGCTGCGGGGACAGCAAGCGACCACAACCACATCGAGGACACACACTGGGGGGTGTATTGCGCATGCCAGAAGTCGTTAGAATACTCAAACCAGCTTGGTACTGGTTGTGGTCGATGTGGGAGTCCAGGACGACCATATCGATCACACCCACAATCAAAATTGTCATGTCGACGTTGGTGGGTTCTCCCCCGGAGGGCCGCACAGAAAAAAAGATGATATCTGGTGGTGGCAGGGTCGCAGCCAGCCCGGGCCCCGGGCTGCGTCATCGCCGCAGAACAGGTGCACGTCAGCAGAAGGCCACCTGGCCTGACAACGCGTGCCGCCGCCTCGTTGAGGGCGCGGTACTTTGCGCCTGGCACGGGTTCTTGGGAGCGCCGCGGCCAGCAAGGCACCCTGTCCCAGCATAGTGGAAACCACACAAAGACGTGTTTCACGGCTCTCGTTCGCACTCCCGACTTGGAACGGCGTTTCCGTCTCAGCGCATGCTAGACTCGTGCCCCAGCGAGGGCCACATCTCCAGCCTTGAGTGGTGTTCCCACCACAGCCCAGGCGGCATCCTGCTGGACGAGAGCGGCACCCCAAGGGGGTGTGTCTAAACTGTACGACAATGGGCGACCTCATTTGGCTCGTTCCAGAAAGCCTGAGCCCAACAAACATTGCATCTCTTGCAAGGCTGACTTTTACTTCTGCCAGCTTCCCCTGGCGGAGGTGGCCTTGTTTTTTTCACGCCGTTTCCCTCCCAGGAGGAGACGCCAACCTCTCGACCCCCCGAAGGCGAAGCCTTTTCTGAAGCGCCAGTTGTCCGGGTGCGCCGAAGAAGGGGGGCCAGCAAGGGGGGTGTTGCCGCATCGTGGCCCAGGCATGTACGCTGATGAAGGGGGGGAGCGTGCTGCAAGAAGAAGAGAGGTGACCATGGCATTCAGCCATGCTATCCAGCCCATCTCGTGGCCCGCCCCAGCCATGCTATCCAAGGGGAGATCCATGACCATGCCATCCAGCCATGCTACCCAGCCCATGCTATCCAAGGGGGGACCTCGTGGCCCCAGCCATGCTATCCAAACACCTCCAGTCCTCACCGAAGCTTTGCTTTCGGACCATACCTCGGGCCGTTCGGTGGGTTCGGGCCGGTTCGACCACCCCGGGAGGGCTCTCGGCGAGGCGCACCTGCTTGCAAGCATCCTGGGGCGAAACAGAACAGCTTGCAAGAACCAATGGGATTGTGTGTGAGAGAATCTACCCCCCCGGCAAACAAAAACAAATCCTTTTTCCTCAGCTCCTTCCTCGACACCCGACAGTCGTGTCCCAAGCCTGGCGCGAAACTCGAGCGGCAACTGTTCGGAGGCCCGGGCGGTCGCGGACGGATGGTACGCCTCGGCATGCAAATGTCGCCGCCACCCGCGGCCCCACGTCACGGCACGGACGCCACGGCAACTGGGAGGGCAGCGGGAACGCGAAGGACGGAGGAACGACCGACCGCCAATCGGCCCTCGAGCTCCTCAGTCCTGTCAACTCTATGAGCTGCGTCCAGCCGTGGCAACCAGGGGGCCCCTCGAGGGCCAACAAGATCTGCACACTGTCCCACGTCCGCCCGGCCGCCCTTGCGGGCAGGTGGCCCTCCTTCATCCCTGTTCCTTGTAGATAACCCCTCCGTGTTGCACCTCCCGGCGTGTCGGCATGGCGGGTGGGGCATTTGCTTGAAGACGACCGCACCGCTCAGGATGATCCTGAAACTGGGAAGTTGCGGCAATTTCGTCTTCAAAAGTGGATTCTCGCCATAGCGCCACACATCCCGCCGCCTTCAAAACATGCAAAATCTACCGGGATGGAGGCTAGTCGGTGTCACAATGGAGTTTTCACTGCGCGCCGTACACATTCGTCTTAAAAGCTTGTGCCGCTTACAAGGATGGAGGATGGCTCATGTTCAAAATGGGGCGCTCGACCTAGCACCGAGCGGATTCGTGCTACAACGATGCAGCAGCAAGGATGGAGGGGGCTTCCTTTGGTATTTGAAATATCGCTTGAGACCTCCGAGAATTTGAAGAAAACACAAAATTGAGCAAATTATTTAACTGAGCGGATGGAGGGCGCGCCTTTTTTGAATTAGGCTCTTGCTCGTCATTTCCTCGAAGTTGATGGTCATAGGTGCAAACTCGAACCAGAATTACACAGATGGAAGCGTTATTTTGCGCAACGCGGGGATCTCGCTGGACACTTCGTTGACCTGTATGATCACAACGGTTCGCACCCCTGAAGAATGCGAGCCAAGTCCTTTTGCCACAGTAAGGTGTTGTTTAGGGGCTCTTGTTCGCACTGAAGGGTTCTCCCCTTTGGTCTAAAGCACTGGGCCTGGCTGTTGGTCTGGCGGCTGTTTCGTCGCCGTCGCCGCCCCGTGGCCGCCGGGTCACCGCCCATCGTCTGGGCCTGTCTGTCGGTCTGGCGGCCGCCGTCGCCACCCGTCGTCGCTTCGTCGCTGCCCGTCGTCTGGACCTGTCTGTCGGACTAGCGGCAAGTGGCCATGTCGTCGTCGCCGTCACCGCCCCGGCGAAGCTCGTCGTCTGGACCTGACCGTCGGTCAGGCGGCTATGTTGCACCACATCGTTGGCAGAGCATGGAAGGCACCACATAGATTGTCCTTTATAAGAAATAGGGTCTACCACCCACCCCACGTCTTCGCGCTCCCCCTGGGATAATACGATTTACACACGATTCTGCCTCATCGTCAATCGTATGAACTCGTAGCATCACAGCCAAACCAGTATCGAATCCCCTCTTCATCCTCGTCGAGTAATCCGCCACGGTGCCTCTGGCACGAAGTGGAGTGCCCCAAAGCACATGCAGCACTGAGAGGGCTGTGCTGCTGGTGCTGCAGCCAGAATTGTAAGTCTTGAAAGGCCCCGACCAATCGTTTCCCGGGCTTTACCGGGGTCCGCCACCCCGCCCAGGGGGGCTCCAAAACGAGACCAGATCGCACCAAGAGGCCCCTAAATTTGTCAAAGAGGGCCCCAAGTCGCCCCAAGATCGCTCCAAGACGCCCAAGATGGCCTCAACATGTTCCAAGAGGCCTCCAAGACGACACAAGAGGCCTCCAAGAGGCCTCCCTAGAGGGCCCTCAGAGGCAAACGTGCTCGATTGTCCCCAGGTGTTTGGAAGGATTTGGGCGTTCTCGCCTGTTTGGCTTTCCGACGCTCGAAGATCCAACAGGTCTCCAAGACCACCCCAAGACGGTGCAAGAGGCCTCCAACAGGGCCCCATAACTGCCTAAAAGCGCCCCAAGACTGCAAAAGAGGCGCCCAAGACTGCCCAAGAAGGCCCCAAGATGGCCTCCAGAGGGGCCCAAGAGAGGGAACACGAACTGAAAATCCGAGCCTTCCTCCCTAAGAAACGCCCACGAGGACTCAAGAAGCCCCCAAGAAGCGCCCAAGAGGCCCCAGGAGTTGCCCAAACGGCCCCCAAGAGGCCTCACAACTTCCTCTTAGAGGCCCCTGAGGCCCCCCCACGAGATCCCAACGAACATTCAATTAAATTGTGAGTTGGGCTTCTGGGTTAATTATAATGGTGTTCGAGCGATCAGATATGCTATTTAATGTATTTGGAAGCGCACGCACATCTGTATACATATACATGTTTATATATCATATTATATAAATGTAGATAAATATATTAGAACCATCGCGCGCGCTTCGCGCGCGCGATGGTTCTAGCCCAGGCTGGGGGGCGCTGGAAGATCTTGGACAGCGGTATCAAGCACAGGTGCGTGACTAGTCGCGCCTCCTGAGGGCCTCTTGAGAATCTCTTGGGTTCCGCGGGGGCATCTGAAGAGCGTCTGGGGGGTTCTCCGTGCTTCCTCAATTGGCTATTGGAAGCACCTCTTTGATGCTTCTTTGGGAGGGCGTCTTGGGGCTTCTTGGGGTCCCTTGGGGGCACGCGTCTTAGAGCGATATTTGGCCGTCTCGGGACCCTCTTGGACCCTTTGGAGGGCCCCCTGGGGCCGTCTTGGAGGCCTCTGGGAGGCCGACGGGGTATCAAAAAAGGGAGCCCGATGTCACGAAGGTGGGCGGGGCGCTTTTCGTGGTTAAAAACCGAACGAAAGTCAGCGATTCGGGCTTCTTGGTGCTCTTTGGGAAGGCAGTTTAGCTTGGAGACTTGTATGGGGGCTCTGAAGAGGCAGCTTGGAAGCCTTTGGGGGGCTGGTTTTGGAAGCTCTGGGGGTCCATTTTGGGTCTCCAAGGCGTCTGGGGCTTGCTGGGCCTCGGGAGGGTCCTGGAGGCGTCTCGGGAACTTCTTGGGGCCTCCTCTTCTCCCTTTTGGAGCCATCTTGAGCATGTGCTGGGGCGCTTTGGGGCCGTCTTGGGCGGTACCTGGGCAGTCTCGAAGCTTTCTCTTGGGGCTCTCCCGGGGGACCTCTTGGAGCTTTCTTGGGGTCCTAGTGGGCTGGGTCCTGGATGTCTCGGGCCTGTCTCGGACCATGTCGGCGCCATCTGGGCTGTCTTGGGGGGGCTCTTCGAGGCCTCCTCAAGCCTCCAGGCGCTCCGTGCCGCGTCTCGGGCACCGTCCGGGGCGCTCCCTGGGCCGCTCGGGAGAACGTCGGAGGCCCGGAGCCCCCACGCGCTGTCGGGCCCCCTCTTTTGGAGGCCCCTGGCCCTGTATCCGGGGATGTATGTGTATATATATATATATCTATACATACATGCATAAACATATCTAGAAACCGATGTGTATATTTATACATATAGATAGATAGATAGATAGATAGATAGATAGATAGATCGATAGATAGATAGATAGATATATAGATAGATATATAGATAGATAGATAGATAGATAGATAGATAGATAGATAGATAGATAGATAGATAGATAGATAGATATATAGATAGATAGATAGATAGATACGAAGGGACGATGTCCAACAACAAAAACGCTTAGCAACCGTGGGGGTGTGGGGTGGCGAAAAGGGGGAGCCCCCCTGGTGCAAAACAATTTTGTGGGCAATAAACCTCCCGTCGTGATTGCTTCGCAACGCGAAGATGTGGAGGGGGGTTAGGAGGGAGAAAATTATCCCGACAAATCAACCTAACAGCGATGTGTAAAAGCATATCTGGAAGCATTCCCCTTAAGATTCAGGTGAGAATCCAGTTGTCGAATTCTGCTGTTCTCGCAGTCGCAGTCGCAGTCGCAATGACAGTCGCAGTGGCAACGGCCTTAGGATCCAATGGAATCCTAAGGATTCCTAGGGATTCCTTAGGCATCCTTAGGCATCCTTAGGCATCCTTAGGAATCCATAGGAATCCTCAGGAATCCTTAGGAATCCTGATTCCTAGAAATTCCTATGGATTCCTAAGGATTCCTGAG